GCCGCCGAAAACTCGCTTCGCTCACCAGCAGGTGCTCCCCGTACCGCTGTCGCATCTCAGCCAGCACGTTCTCGGAGGGGGAGCAGATGCCGGTCTTCGACCCGGCCACGAAGTGCACCACCACGACGCTCGTCGGGCAAGACGACAAGGCCTTGTGCACGGCGCTTTTCGTGTGGTGACGGGTGAGGGGTAGGAGTGTTTGGTGGGGTTAGGCGCGGACATAGCCTTGTGTGCGACACCTTTGTTTGGTGTATGCAGTGGAAGGTGTGCGAACGAGGGGAGGGGGAGGCGACTCGTGAGATTCGACTCCCTGTGATGCGCTTCGAGCACCGGGTATGCACACGGGGGGGAAGGAAACCGGGAGATGTGAGGAGGCGTGTTCCAGAGAGCAAAAAGGGGTGGACTCATGAGGGGGGACGGGACTAGGGAGTAGCTACCGTCCGTTATGCAGGGTTCGAGCTGGGATCAGGTTCGGGTTCCCGTACGATGATAAATGATAAAGTCCGGGCCCGCTACGAACGGTTTTCAGCAAATATGTGCAACCTCGTCGCTGGCCGTCAAATCAACCACCGTTGCCCCCGATGACAAAAGGCCAAGCTTTGCCCATCGTCGACGGGATGAAGACCACGGTGCAAAGAGAAACAAAAAAATAATCATCCTCACGCAAAAATATGTCTGGGGGGCGCTCGCGGATTAGAACTAGCGTTCGTCTCGTTCCCTGATAAGATTGACGCCGTCGCACTGTTCAGTTGGCTAGCGGGGTGTCCATCTGAATCAAAGTAAACACGAAGGCACACCTGCGCACAATGTCTTCGCAGGGAAGGAAGGCGCCGCTCTTGGAGCGGGTCTTGATCTGGACCACGACTACGTCGCCCGCTGGCATGCCCTCCACCTGCGCTCGGGGTAGTCGCAGGCGCATACGAGAGAGACCCATCGTGGTTGGCTAACGCGTGGGTAGATCGTCCCGATTACATCGCCGCCGTGTGTGTCAAGCTAACGAGAAACACATCTCGCCATCTTCAGCATGTTGCGCAATGCCCAACTGCTTGCTACGTTGTCCATAATTCCTAGGTTTGTGAACGTCCGTCTGGCTAATACATATCACATCGCAATGCCCTCTATACCGGATAGGCTGGGAAAATCATGATGTGTACTAATTGAACACCACGACGGTGACAAGAGGACGGACAGACAGTCAAGGAATAAAAGAAAGCACCCATTTGAGTCCAAACAAGACGACAATTGCAGTGTGGTACCACGTTCCAGTGGCGCACCGGATGCCATGAGAATTGCTCCGTGGGCAGTCACACAAAAGAGGAGCTGGTTTGTGACCACCGGCATGGAAAGGTCCGGTTAGACCATAATCATCCGAGCAAAAACAGAATCCAACAGCATTGTGGCCTGCCTGTCTCTCACGTGGTTCTCGGGACGGCCGGGAGTACCCCTGGGAGTGAGCTTGCTGAAGTGTTGGCCGCCGGCCGCCCCGGCTGTTCCACTCCCCACCTCACCGGCGGCCACAACGATCGACGTCACCGCCGGCCCGTCGGCCGACTTAGGAGAACGAAAGAAACCAGTCGGTCGGCGGGGGGAGTGTGTATGTTGTTCGTGGGTGATGGATACGTAGGCTTTTTTCAATGCGAATTTTCTACTAAATAAATGTTCTCTGTTGTCGCTCCTGTGAGGCGGTACGCCACGCAAACTCCGGGGGGCGCAAGTTCGAAGTGGATTCCTTCTGTTGAGCAAACGCCGTGAGTACGCCCACGGGACAGCACGCCCGCATTATCTTTTTTTGTTCAAAGATCGGCCGAGAAATTGTAGATAGTAACTCGTGTTTTCTCCACGATTAGTTGCCTATCAGTGTCTGCAGGCATCCAATACACAAACGCGGGCGCCAGCGGGCACTCTTTGTTAAGCTAGTTCTTCTTGGCACATTGATCCTGCTTACTGGCTAGCCGCGCGCGCTTAGAAGAATACCCTTGTCTACGTTGTATTGAAGCCAGAGGATACATACATTGATGGGAAAACGATGAAGAAAAACTAGCACTGCACATGGCCTGTGACTGTAGACGAAGGGTAGAGTATTTCTAAGTACAATGAAAACAACAACAACAACAACAACAACAACAACAACAACAACAGCAGCAGCAGCAGCAGCAGCAGCAGCAGCAGCAGCAGCAGTAGCAACAGAAGCAACAACAACAACACAACCGTTGAAAGAGGTTGAGCTAAGTGGCAGGCACCTTGTGGCCCAGGCGTCTCGCCCTGACACACGCAAGAGCTGTCGGCAACAACTCCGCGTCCGATCCAGATGGAGTGAGAAACACCTGCGGCGAGATTAGAACCCAAAAACAACAACAAACAACAAAAACGGCGGATTGGGCGCCAACAACAAGAATAGATTTTGCTTTCCCCTCCGCCGGAATGTCGTGCCCAAGGTGACGAATGGCACGGATAACGTATACGTTCGGGGATGTGACATGTGCAGGGTCGCGGAAGCCGTTCCCTTGGCGTGCAAGGGCATTTTCTGTGTATCAGCGGGCAAGACGACCTCCTCCCGCGGCCGGTCAGGGGATCGGTGCTTGCAGCACCAACGCGACGGAGGGAAGGAGGCTCTGGAAACGACTACACCCACATCAGAGAGACAGGGAGATGCTATCAGAACGCGTGAACTAGACTTTCGACCGGTGGGCCCGATGGGAAAAGACACCCTCTCGTATGTACATCCTTATATGCTGCTCATATTCGACTCTTTGCTCTTCTTGTGTGTTATCACACCCCCTTGCGTGGACGGTTTTGGGTTATTATCCCCGCTCAGCCTTGAAGTATTTTCATCGCCCGGCCGGTTGGCGCGGCCAATGACACTCATGTCGAACAAGGACACACAAGTACCAAGGGTAGCTGCTGCCGTGCGTGCTACATACCTCTACCGTGTTTCGGTCCATGCCCAGCACGTCTAGCAAGCGCCTCCGGACGTCGCTCATTCGGTTCGTGAAACCCCCGTCATCGTAGAGCTCGTGCGTGGAGTCGTCTCGTGTCTGGTCCCGCCCGACCCCTTTCTTGAGCGCCCACGTCAAGAGTAGATCGTGCCGCGCGTCGTCGGCGCTGCCGAATGCTCTCCTGCGTCAAGAAAGAAAGAAATGCACAAACAGAACTAACCATTTTCATTAAAGTAGGAGGGAGAAAACGACAGCTACACACTGCAAAGCACGCAACTGAGCGAGCACGACAGTCCTAACCGCATCGCGTGACGTGGACAAAGTCGTCCAAGAGAGGCGATACCTACCACCAACTTTTGATTGCGCCGTTTTGCCGGGGGAGATACACTATTTCCCCCTCCCCCTCTCCAATCTCCAAGGATTAGTCAGCAGTGGGGGGGGGTGTACTCATAGTCGTGCATGCCGTAGTCGTTAGACCATTGACCTCGCATCCCTACAAAGCCGGGACGGAGCACGCCGGGTTCTCACCGGACCAGGCTCTCACATCACCAAGCGCGAAG